TCCAGCCTTCATTACAAAAACTGTAATTCCCACGTGTCGGTCTTCCCCACGACACCATGCACCTCTTAGGGGCAGGACTGTGTCTTATCCATGACCACACGCCCCAGAGCTAGCTCGGGTCTTGTCTCAGTGGGACCGGCAAATCTGTCTTAAAAAAGAAAAAAGCTTAAGCATCAGAAGTGGTCAAGGAAGGCTTTACAGAGAAAGTGGGATGTGAGCATCACCTTGTCTGGAAGGCAATGAATTTCAAACAAGCAGTGAGACTTAGAAGAGAGCATGGCCAAGACAGAAGAGAACAAACAGGCAGAATTGGGAAAACACACATTACGTCCGAGAGACAGGAATCAGCTCTGTCTTCCAGGCTTGCAGGGCTCAGGAAGGATGGAGAGCTGAGGCCTTGGCCAGGCTGGGAGGCAACTAATGCCAGGCTAAGGACATGTTTCCCAAACTATGCTCTTTGGAACCTTGATGCTCCTTTAAGTTCAAAATGGGACTATTTCATGGTTTCCCCATTAGTTCAAGGCACTTCTTCGTAGACCAGTTTGAGAACGATTGTTGCTACAGATAACAAAATAAGTAATAACCATCGTTTATTAAGTGATTACTATGCGCTAGGTACCGTGCCAAACGTTCCACATAGCTTTCTCTCATTCAGTCTTACAATGGCTCGGTCAGGTAGGTACAAATAACATCTCTGTCTGCAGATAAGGACACTGAGGCCAAGAAAGGTTAGCTTGCCAAGCTCACCAGCTTGAGCAGCTGGAAGGTGGAGCTGAGGTTGGCTCAAAACCAAGATGTCCAAGAACGGAACCCAAGCCCATGTGTGACCACTAGGTTGCTCCTTCGCCTCCTTTCTGGGAGGGGGGTGGTCTGGACCTGATGGGGAGGCAGGAGATCAAAAGGGCAAAGACGAAAGACTAGAAGCACCTTAGCATTTAGGGAAGGTGCCTCCTCCAGACACCGAAGGGAAAGGATCACAGCCAAGGAGAGAAGTGGCCCCAGAGTCAGAGGAACATGGAAACTGAGCAGTGAAGCTGGGAAAGAATGTTCATGGAAGCTGAGCTGGAAACCCTTCCTCTGCCGGGGCACCTCTGCCGCCTGGAACACCTACCCCCAGACGGATCTTACTGTATAAGCCAGGCCCGCAGAGCCGCAGGCGAGAAGACTGACCGGATATGTTGCTGGGGGCTGCCTGGGCAATGACGGGGACAGGCCAGAATGACAGGGCAGCCACGTTCCTAGGCAACAGATTACAGGAAAGCTGCCCACAGCCGCGCCGCGCCAGCAGCTGCTCCGGGCCATTGCAATTTCCCAAGTAGTTATTGTGGCTGTGATTGGAAAGGGATCGCGGTCACATGTTTAAGATAAATGTAATTTGGGTGGCTTAGAGTTCATGTCCCAGGATGCTGCAATCCGGGCTGGGCCCAGGCTACAAGAGAAAAGGGCGTCCAGGACAAAGAAATGATTCAGTACACATGCACAGAGCATTAGGGTTTGCAAAGCCCTTCATAATCTTTATCTCACGGGAGTTAGACACCAACCCTTGGGGTGGGGGGAGGAAACTGAGGCACAGAGAAGTTAAGTGACTGATATAAGATCACACAGCAAGTCAATGGCAGAATCATGCATTGTCCCTAAATCTTTAGGCCGAGCTCACTCAGGTGTTTGAGACCCAAACGAACAAGTGTTTTAACAAGTGATAAAAAGAAAGCAGGCGAGGACTCCAAGGAGGAAAAAAAACACTGTTCAATCACTGTGAATCTGAAATGTGTGGTAAAACAGATTGAAAGCAGCTAACGCTTTATACCACCTCGTGACTGCCACTGCTCCAAAGGAGGCAGGTAGGAAAGTGAGCGCAGGTGACTCGCAGAGAAAGATACAGGCTGGCGAAGAAGGTGCCCAAGGCCACACAGCTGGCAAGAGGACGAGCTCCTCCGGGAGGGTTATTCCCAGCCCTGTGCTCCTTTCCTGACCCCGGGCCTGGAAGCACTTAGTGTGGTCAAGCAGCGGGAAGCAGTCACAGGGCTGTGGTTCCCTTTGCTCGATGTGATCTGTCCCAACCAGCGGCTCCCTCCCTGTCGGCCCTCTGGTTCCCCACGGCGCGGGCCCCTGCTTCCACCCCGATGGCTGCCCCGTGACGCCTGTCCACAGCCAGACAGCAGCAAAACCATCGCCCTCCACCCCGCCCCCGTGCTGTGCCAGGGCTCTGTGGCTTGGCCACATGGTACTCCCGGAATAGCTGTCCCTGTTGAACAGATGTGCCCACACAGTCCCCCGGGGTGACCCCTGAATGCCTCCACGTTGCATCGGTCTCCTTTGCCCTAAACTCCTGATGGCTCGGGCCAGACTTGTTTTCTCCCTGGTTCTCCCTCTAAGCCCTGCTCACTTCCCCCTTTCTAATGCTTTAAGTCATCTGCCTGATGGCTGAGCAGGACATCCTGCCTGGGAACCAAAGCCTGGGGTCCAACTGCCTAAGGACAGATCTCTGTATGACAGTCAGCCCCTCCTGGAACTGCTCGCTGCCTGAATTCCCCTCCAAGAGCTTCCGTCAGCCAGCCGGGGAATCCCGCTGACTGGTGTCCAGCCCCCAGGGTAGGCCCTCTGCTTGGGGGGGGCTGCACCTCCGGACCAGCCCCCTCTTCCGCTGTCGAATGAACGACCCCTCCATCAGAGACGCTGCGCCCTGCCTCCCCTCTCCCTTCTCGTTCCACGCTACCCGTTCCTCTCTTGCCACAGCCTTAGATAAAGGACTAGAAACAACTCAAATGTTCATTGACAGGAGAACTGATGAACACATCGTGCGTATCTACAATGGAATACACAGCAGTGCGAACGAAACAGGATCAGCGGCCCACCCTGACCTGCAGTGGAAAAGAACATACTTGATTGTGGTGTTTTATAAAGCTCAAACAGAAGTGAAACAAAACAATAGATTGCATTGGGAAACATTCATATAGTAAAATTTTTTTTAAAGCAAGGAAATGATAAACATAAAATTCAGGATGACGTCCTCCTCAGGCTAAGGAGAGAAACGGGGCGGGGAAGAAGCCGGTAATCGGGTACCTGAGGTTGGGAGGTGGGTTGGGGGTGATTCTTTGGTGATTTTGCTTCACAGCTTACATACATGTTTCGTGTAGTCTCTCTGATGCATTAGCTGCTACAAGATAATTTTAAAGATGAGGTGGAGCGGGCCCCCGAGGTACCCTCCATATCCTCTGCTCCCTGCTCTGATTTATCCGGCAGCAGGAAACTGTGTGCCCACTGAGCTCCTGGACTCTGTGTTCCCCCGCCACCACCTTCACGGCCAAACGATCTGGAAGCAGGCGCTGCTCTTATTCCCATCTCCTTCCCTCCCGCGCTCTGGTTCAGCTCACAGTGCATCGCCCCGAGCCATTGCCCCACCGAAGACAAGGCTCACGGAAGTCAGCGAGGACAGCGGACACGGTCAGCTCTGGTCTCACGTGACATCTCAGCAGCGTTCGCCTTGGCTGCTTCTCTGAGTCCCCGCCTGCTGCTTCTCCGAGCATTTGGGCCACTTCCTCTCCAGACATCCCTTCCAGAGCTCAAGCCACTTCTTGGCCTCCGTAGCTGCCCCCTCTCTGCCTGTCCCGTACTTGAATGGTGGTCCCACAGGGCCCTTGTCTGGCCTCTTCTCGCCCTGCAGCCTCTCATGGCTTCAGTGAGCATCTGAACACTGATGAGTTCCCAACCCTTCTCTCTGGCCCAGACCTCTCTCTCCTGAATTCTGGGCCCAAATGTCAAATGTTCCACTCAGTCCTTCCACTCGGATGTCACACAAGGGGCACTCCAGAGGCCTGTTCAAGCCCAACTCCTAGCGCTCCTCCTACAAGCCTGGTTCCCAGCCAGTGGCTTCTATCCATCCATCCAAGTGCCCAAGCCACCTGTGAGTCAGTCTGGGTTCTCCCTGCTCCCTCACTGCTACCATCTCTCCACTCTCCCCGAGCCCCCTCCAGTCAGCAAGCCTAGCCATGCTCTTAAATGCTCCCCAGTCTACTCTCTCCAACCGCCCCAAGACCTTCCTAATCCAAGCCAGCATCCTCTCTTGCTCGAATGAATGCAAGTGGCTCACTCGTCCCCTCCCTGCTCCCAGCCTCGCTTCAAGCCATTCTCCGCCCTGCAGCCAGTCTGTTCTCTGTAACGGGCAAATCTGCGTGCCTCAGTGCCCTGCTAGCACCTCCCTGTGGCCCCACCGCCCTCAGCTTTCCCTGACTTACCCCCTACCTACCTCTCCGTCCTCATCTTCCCTCACCTCCCTCCCAATCACTGCCTCAAACCCCACCCTTCAGCCACACTAAACCTCCTTCAGTCCCCTCTTCCCTTGAGGGCTGCAAACATGTCTCCCGTAGGACACTGTGTCTCCCCAGCCTTATCCAGTCTCACCTGCTTCATTTAACTCTTCCTCCAGGTTCTAGTTTAACTGCCACTTCTTCTGGGAAGTCTTCCCGGATCACTCTCTTTCCCACTCGGAAAATGTTAGATGGTCCCACAGTCTCACGGCGCCCAGTGTGCTTCCTACCCTGTTCTAGCACTCGTGACACTGTATACAAATTGCTTTTTAACTTATTTGCCTCCCACAAGAGCAGACCCTCTGCATCAGCCACCAGAGACCTGACGTACGGTCTCACTAGTACCTGGAGCAGTGCTTGACCCTACTAAGCAGGGAGTAAAAACTGCTAGAAGAAAGAATGAATGAATGAATGGGAGGCACTGCGTATTCCATCTATGTCATTTGATTCTTGTAAGAATCCTTAAGGGGGAGGTACTATTAGCCTCCTTTCACAGGTGGGAAAGTGGAAGTAACTTGCCCCAAATAGAAAGCAGGATGTTGGACCCTAGTTTCCCACTGAAGCCCAGGCCAGCATCCACCCCTCCACCCCTCTGGCCATCCCCCCCCCACCCCTCATCCCACACGAGGCCAGGGAGCCCTGTAAGGGCCCCGTCAAGGTCAAGAACTCAGGCTGAGAACTGGCGATGGTTACCTGGAAGCATGTGGGCCCCGGCCTCCCAGCGGGGATATCCGACTGGTAGAAAACTTTGAGTTCTGGAGTCAGGGCAATGACAGTCTTAATCACCAAGGAGATGATATCAGACCAGACCTTCTTGATGTCAACACCCTTGGAAGACAACCTACAAAGAATGCTAGAGAAAGTCCTCTTGCTGCCCGTGCTAGTACTGTCCGAATGGACAAATTTACCACTATGGATGTTCAGAGAATAGTTGGTCAAGTGCATGAAGATGTGGTGCAGGTTTTTGGGGTTGGGCTCCTGATATGGCTCCGTGCAAAACCGAGAGAGTCCCTCTTTGGCTATGTAAATCTCTAAGGGGTCTAAGGACTTGAGTAAGACATACAGACGAATATCAAACTTGAGCTTGTCGATAAGGAGAGGTTTGCAGATGTACTCCTGGACCACCGCCGGCCTGCTCTGGAGGGTCCCTGCCAGGCGGATGTCACTGGGGTCTTTAATGAGGTAGATTCCGTCACCCTGACAACCACTATCAGGTTTCACAATAAAAGTGGGCTTCCAGGAGGGGTCCCCATCTTTCACCATTTGAACCTGGCAGGGGAGAAAAAAGATGGTTAGCACCATATTCTTTTCCTCTCTGGTCCCCTGAGACAGAGCAGGATCTTGGCAAATGTTTGGTGACAAAACGGGCCCTGCCTATGTGAGTACTCGGTAAGCACCTGCCAGGGGGAGAACAGGGTACTAGGTACTGAGATAGTGACCTCAAAGGTGCTCCCGATCTTGTCCTCCGGAAGGGAGATCCACAGCGCAATGGATCTGCAGTCATAAGACCTGGGTTCAAATCCCAGGCCTTTGCCAGTTATTAGCTATAACCCCAAGCAAGTTATTTAACTGATGACAGTGATGATGATAATCTAGTGCTATTTACAAGCGCCTACTATGTGCAGGTCCTATACTGGGCACTCTGCATAAGTTATTTAATCTAACCCTCACAGATGATCATTCCCTTTTTATAATACAGGAAACGGAGAGGGCACAGCCTGTTCAGAGCGTGGGCCTGAGAGTCAGGCTGGCTGGGCTCATAGCCTGGCCCTGCTACTTACTGTGTGACCTTGGGCGAGTTACTTAAGTTACCTGTGCCTGCCTCATCTGCAAAACGGGAGAAAGACTGTTCTGAGGATTCAATGAGATAACAAATGCAAAGGGTGAAGCACACAGAATCTGACACAGAAGAGGCGGCCAGAAAGCCCGGCTGTTGCTACTTTTTTAAAAAGATGAAGTAACTTGCCGGTGGGCCGAGGGGCAGAATTGGGATTGGAATCCAGATCCAGGGCTCTGAAGGCTTGCACCTTGCTCTGCATTTCCATGTCTCCGTTTCCTCATTTTAAAAATGAGGATATGAAAACCTTTCCTCTCTGGGCCATTGTAAAGATGAAATAAACTGAAATGCACACGGGGCTGAGCGCAGGCCCACACAGAGCTCGTGCACGGGGGGCTGTTAGTTTTACCATTGATATCTCTTATTAAGTTCATCTCGTAGACTCGGCCAATCCTTTAGTCTGGTGAGGTCTTTCTGAAGCTAGATTCTGTCATCGTAAGATTTGCTCTCCTCCCAGTTCCCGGTCAGCAGGACACCCACATAATTATCCAGGACACATGACCAGCACAGACAGTCAGCCTGGATCCGCGGGTCTGCATCATACACGCCCCATTCCCCGGGACCCTGGACCCTTGTCTGATCCTTGGGAGGTTTTTGCCCGGGGAGGAGAGCTGGAGGAAATTTAAGGTGGATTTGAAAGAAGGAGCCACTCTCTCTGCAGCTTCTGGAGTGAAGAAGCCCGTGAACTGGACTCACCCGGCTGCGCATCTTTGCTGAGTAAGCCCAGCCCAGGACATCTGCGCGCTGGGTTTTACTTATCTCTCTGACCAGCCTATATTTCTAACTGAAGCTTTTGCCAATTCCTCGGGCACTATCAGTTACTCGGGCTTGTAAAAGATCTTTAACAATGGAGAAACACTTAAAGCCTTAATAATGGTCCACATCAATTGTTTCCCCTTGTCAGCAGGATTCAAGAATGGAACTTCACAGGAGATCAATGCAAGCCTCCGAGGGCCCTCCACTGAGCCTTCCTTGCAACAGTGACCTTGACGTTTACGTAGTTATTTAATATTCATCCAAAGCATTCATACATTTGGCCCTTTACAGTAAATATAAGCGAGCTGCAGAAATGGTAGTTATGCATCAGGAAGTGAAAGATGTCAAGTTTGCACCAATGGGTAATTTTTTCCTCTAGAAAGCTTTGGCTAGGCTGAAGATACTAACAGATCAATATATTATCGGCCACAATATTTTCTCCTTTGAATTCAGTGTATATGCCTTAAATAAATTAAACTACATGCTCAATAGTCTCTGTCATTCATTGCATGACTGAATATTTCTTCTGCTCTTTGCCAGAGTACTACCATACAAATCACGATTATTCATACTAATAGAATCACTGCATTTTTAGAACTGGAAGGATCCTTGGAGATTAATGGCATCCAGTCTTTTCATTATTCAAACAGGGAAGCTGAGGCTGAGAGAGGGGACATGACTTGCCTTGGGTCCATAACTAGCTAGGGGGATGGTTAGGATGAGAACTGAAGGCTTCTGACCTCATGGCAGGCTCTCTGTGCCATTTTACCCTCTGATAAGATAAAATTAAAGGTCTCTTTTTCCCTGAGCATGACAGGAAACATTCTCTTAATACAGAAGACAGTATTGGTATCTGGGCTCTGGACTCGCACTAAAGAGTCTGGCCCCTGAGCACGGCCTTCCCTATGGGAAAGCCTCAGAGCTGTTCTGAACATTGTTCCTCAGCCTCCAGACCCTTCAGCAACTTGTATTTTTAACAAGAGAAAAAGATTCTCCAGAATTCATATTCATTTTCCTCTGAGGTTTTACTCAAGGGTAACCCCTCCTCCCCAGGTATTAAAGGTATTAAAGTAAAGAACGAATGTATTGGTTCTCAGCAAGAAGTTGTGGACAAGAATCTAAATATAGTCTGTACGACAAGGCCCCGGGCCCAGAAACTCAGGTTCATTAGATCTGGGATGAGACCTGGGCATGCGTATTTTGGAAAAAGCTTGACGGGTGATTCTGATGTTCACTCTGTCTGAGAATCACTGGACTAATGTGAACTGAATGCAAATACAACCTGGGCCCAACGCAGTGAATGAAGCTGCAGGCATTAATGTTAGCCTGGATGTGAGGGACACTTGCACTTGGGCTGCAGCTGACGGTATCGCCAGTTTCACCCTGACATGCTGTTGGATGTGCAGTTCATTATCTTGTAATGGCATGTATGGGTAGCTGAAAGAGGTACAGAGGATGTGGTGGCCTGATTGCCGGGCACTCGTTGGGTCTATTGGAAATTTTATGTGTTTTTTACTGCCCCCTAGTGGATATTTGAGAAATGTGACTGGGAAAGATCATCAAAATTCAACTCTTCTCAGCAGTAAGACAGACACTCAATTAAGATGTTAAAATAGTCTTAAAGAAGCACCACCACAAAAAGTTCCCTCTGCCTTGCTGTTAAGATAAGCTCATACTTTTGAATGAACTCATCTCCAAAATGCCATAGTTGGCCAAGGTCACACTCAGTTCTCATGGTGCCTGGCCCTTAAATATATTTTTAGTGTTCACCCTAATACACAGATTGGCCTATCTGTTAAAATTCTCTATCAGTCTGTATAAAAATTTTTAAATTATGAGAAACATGAATATGAAATCCTGGAACTACATACCACATAAAATTATCTACTTTCATAGTCTTTATTGTAGGTTTTGTTTTTCCCCCAAACTTACCATTAGAAAAAAAAATATGAGTGGCAATAGTCAGTAGCAGCAAGTGTCTCTGAATATATTTTCATAAGGCATAGCTTTTGGCGAACAGATATTTGCACACCCATGTTCATAGCAGCATTAATCATAACAGCCAAAATGTGGAACAACCCAAGCGCCCATCAACAGATGAATGGATAAGCAAAATGTGATATATACATAAAATTGAGTATTATTCAGCCATAAAAAGAAGGAAATTCTGACATATGCTACAGTGAAACTTAAAGACATTATGCTGAGTGAAATAAATCATCACACACAAGGACAAACACTATTATAAGGTTCCACTTAGATGAGGTACCTAGAGTCGTCAAATTCACAGAGACAGAAAGTAGAATGATGGTTACCAAAGACTGGGGAGAGGAGTGGTGAGGAGTTAGTGTTTGACGGGTACACAGTTTCAGTTTGGGAAGATGAAACAAGTCCTAGAGATGGACGGTGGTGATGGTTGTACAACAACGTGAATGTACTTAACACTTCTAAATGTACACTTAAAAATGATTCAGATGGTAAATTTTATGTTATGCATATTTTACCACTTTTTTAAGTTAAAATATTTTAATTAAAAAAAGAAAAGAAATAGTTTCTGGTGAGTTAAAAAGAATACTGGAGTGAAAAATGGAAAACCTGGATTCTAGTCCCAGTTTAGGTGATTTCTGACTGTGTGACCTTGAGGAAGTCACCTCACTCCCCCGGGCTTTGTTGTACTCACCTATGCAATAAAGGGGGGTCACACTAAGGTCCCTGGCTCTCACCAGCTAACAGGTTCGGAACAATGATTTATCTTGACATCACCACAGTTGAAGGCTGTGTTACAAACACGCAAGTGACATTAATCAGCGGAGAGTTCATGCTGGGCTGCTGTGATCAGCGCGCTGGGATGATCTACAAGAGCAGGAACTCGGGACTGGAGATTTATGATGCACTTGGGGAACCTGGGGGAAGCAAACTAAAATATTTCGAGAGAGAAATCCAGCCACTGGAACATCAAGCCACAAAGCATTATTAGCAGCGAGGGGCAGGTAAGAGGACAATTTGTGAAGAAATACTGTATCTGCAATACCTGGGATGTCAAAGCCAGTTAGAGAAGTCCTCTGTCACTCAGGTGGATTTGCATCCAATCTTAGCAACTGAGACCCTCGGTGTCACAGGCACAGGGAGTGGATCTTCAGCAAAAATAAGTCTGGTAGACAAGCAGCTGTCACGAAGTGAACACTGGACAGGGGGCAAGGGCCAGCCCTTTCCAGTCTCAGCCGACTGAGCCTTGGATGTGAGGCAAATTCCTAGTCCCAGTGTGCCAGACAATTTCTGAGTCAGGTGAAAAGGAGGCTGCAGTTAGGTTACCAAGGGCTAGGTAGGAAGGGGCAGGGTGGGAGGTAGACAGGTGAGGCCGAGAGGACAAACAGGTAGCATGCTGCCATGGAGAAGTCCGTGAAGGTGGGAGAGAGCAGGACATGTTCTAATGGCTGGAGAACAGCCAGCAAATGAAGAGGGGAGGACGCTGGAAACCCCAGGGGGAGCTGCAGGGGCCAGATCCCCATAGCAGCAATAGTAATATAAGCTCACACCTGAAGGGACTTATTATGGGTCAGAAGCTGTCCTAAGTTTAACACGTATTATTTATCTCATTTAACCCTCTACAACTCTATTTTCACAGATAAGGAAACGGAGGCCCAGAGAAGTTAAGTAACTTGCTAAAGGTCACACA